ATGAAGGGAGAAGTAAAACTTCTACTTCTACTTGTCAAGAAAGGAAAGGCAACAGCCACCTGCCCTAAAAAAGTCCATGTGTATCCACTTTTGGAGTACCTTTGGATCATTCTTTGTTCAATCTCAACCAGGACCTTCACAGTGACCTCTTTGGAGTCTCTAAGTGACCTAAGTGACCTCATCCTGGAATGTCAAAAGGTCATTGAATGTCCTGGAAGAAGTCTTCCCCGCCAAGAACCGTCCTTTCTTGACACCTTGTGCTTTAGCAGCTAGCAGCTAGTGCTTGATGTCTTTCCCCAACACCCAAACCGCGCCTCATCGACACGCTTGGCCTTCCCCGACGACATCCGCTTCCAGTTGTCTGTGACACCCTGATGGACTCAAAGACTCAAAGATCCGCAATCAAAGATCTTTCAATCCATCCATGGGTCCCATGGCTCCCATCCGATGGACTCCAAGACTCTGGATCGACCATGTCCTTCCATGCCCGGCCGATCCCGGCTCCGAGGACTCTCGAGTCGGACGGCGACGTGGCGGAGGCCGAGGCGGACGGAGGGGATGGGATTGGGCCGTTGAGAATGGATGGATGGGTTTGTTCCTGTTTGATGATTGAATGGTGCTATTCCAGTCCAGATTAGTGACGATGGAATTGGAGAAGTTGGGAGTTGGTGAAATCAAAGCGGCCCCGCAAAGCGAAACTCCGGGCGGGTTGTGAGCTGCAAACGCCGTGTTTGCCGGAGTTTCATGAGGTTGGAATGGTTTTCCAACCTGATTTTCCAACTACCAGGACCTTCCTAAGAGGTGGTTTTGGTTTTTGGGCACCCCTTGACCTCTAAGAGACTGTTTATAGACACCTCTTGGAAGGTCCTGGTATGCAGCTGACTTTTATGCAACATGCATTTATGCCTTTTCATCTATGAAACAATCAGCCAGGTTCGGCAGACATGTTGCATAGTTGCAGATCCAGGCAGTGGGCAGTGCGCACATTGTATTACACTGTTCGGAGGCTTGATAGTTTGGATCTTCCTTGGCTGAAGTTTGCAATGGGTGACTGAAGAGGCAGCATTGTTTGATGGTGTACTGTTTTAACTTTGAACCGAAGGAAATAACAGATGGCACAGGAACTCTAAGTCGAACAAATGTTGGTCCATGTTGTTTGCACTCGCTTGAATATATAGGCAAATGACGTGTTCCGAATTGTCCGAAGGTTCCTAAACCAAAAAAAGTCTGCAGCAATGTTGGATCGATTCTCGGGTGCTCAAAAGCAACTCACAGACGACTAGACCGAAATGGCCAACTGCCGCAAAGAAAAGAGACTCCCACACGACGAGGAAACGATAGGGACATCCGTGACGATCCTTGACTCTACCTGGAGTCCCCAAGTATATAATTCAGAAAATGGGTGCAAGATGGTACAAGTAAGTAAGTAAGTACCTGGTACCTGGCTCCCGTTTTCTGGTCGATCACTCCCCCCTCAAGCAGGCTCCATCGGCATTCGGCATGTCACATCACACCTGGCGGCTTGGATGTGCGAGCGTTTCGAGGGTTTCTTTGAGACGAAGACCGGACCTTGGCATGGCCTCCTGCCATTCCAAACGATCAAGGCCTATTTCATGGTACACCGAGTCTGTTCGGGGACGTCGATTCTTCCACCCAACTGGGTTTGGTCTATTCTGTTGGATTGATCAAAGCATATCAAAGCAACCGGCCACATCCATTGCTGTGGTCTTCACAGTGGGGTTTCGCTGTTTGTAACAAGACCGGGTCCAAACCCGTTCACCGGTTTCACGGGGGTTTGACCTCCGACTCTTTCGCCACCCGTGGTCAAGCAGGGTTGAGCGTGTTCGCCGGTGCTATGACCCACAGCCATATCGCGTGCCACACTCGGCTTTGCTATTTGGCTCGCCCACTTCGGGGTGGAAGGGAATGAATTGCTCCACCGCTCTATTCTGCGCGACCGGTTGAGGGTTTCTTCGTCGAGACCGCGCCATGAGAAACTTCGCCATCCGACCCAGAGAGATGGGTTCGGTACTGGAGACAGCACACCCCCGGCTCTGAGTCCTCCTTTGCCAGGAACTGGTTGGTCTCCTCCAGGTCTGAGGTGGAACTTCTGTATGTCGGACCCCCTTTCGTTTGTCATGTCTCACTCCATTGCCCCCGTTTTTTGAAGAGGTTAACTAGAGTGTGCGTTCGGTGAGGGAAGCTGTTCGTTGGGCAGCAAGTGACTATAATTTCCCTGAAAGGTCTTAAAGAAGAGCAAAATAATATCGAACAACATCAAACATTTCTATTTGTCTTGAGAATGCTTGTAAAGCACAGCCTAGCATTCTTCAAATTGCATAAGGGCGTTGTTTGTGGTGTTGCCAATCTGCCAAGCTCAAGGCAGTGGCTTACTTGCGGAGATGTCATCAAGTGGGCGATTTGCAGCAAGAAGCAGGCCGACCCCCAAGCTGCTTCTGTCGTTCTGCATGAGCGGCAGTAGTGGGGCCTTAGCAAGGCCAAGTGCAAATTGTCACGCCCAAGTTCATTGAGCACAAAGCCGCTGCCATTCTAAAACGCGATGTGACCTACCCAGTCAGTGCATAACCTGCCGGTCACCTTTTTTGGGGGCCATTTGTTTATCCACACTAAACATGAACATGTCGAACGTTCGGTTTACCTGTTTTCTCAGCAAAAAGCTCCGGAGTCAGGAATGTTGCAGGACATCATGACCCCAAAGAAGCAGGTTGTTTTTTTGATGTGTATTCCTTTGCAAAAGGGATGAGCGTCGACACGCACTGACTCATAGCCTTGCGAAGGTTTCGTTTTTGTTGAAACCACATCACCAGCCTTGTCCCTATGGATCCACATACCTTCTGAGAAGGTGATTGTAGGCTTGGAGGGTCCAATTACCTTCTGAGAAGGTGTGTGGATCCATAGGGTGTGATGATACCTTCTTCGTTCGCCACCCTTCGAGGCCAAGGACTACTACCGGCTCTCGAGCTGCTCCTGTTGTGAGAGGGTGGCGCCCTGGAGCTTCCTGCAGAACCTGGGGCAGCAACGAGAAACGGGGCGAAAACTGGGCCGCCTCACTGATGAAGAGATGAATACCAGGTCCTTCCCAGTGATCCCAGCATGGTCCGGAAAAGAACTGGAGGCTTGGGTGAGAAAATGAGTTGCTCCATGTTGCGGGCGATCTGGCTCACTGGCATTCGCCCTTCCCTTCTGAAAAACTGAACAACAGATGCGGGCATGATCTGTTGAAGTGTGGAAACATGTGAATTTCTCATGTGAAATCAACAGCTTGCAGTGGCATCAGCTTCAGGGACGAAGAGGAGGAGGAGGAGGAGCTTCCGCCACCTTGGCGGAGTGCCATGGCTCTGCAGGCGACCGAGGGCGGTGGTGTTCTTGGGAGGGCAGAGAACACGTCGGGCGTTTCTTCGGAGTTTTGCGGAGAATGCATCAACAGCACCGAAAGCTCTCCATCCCAACTGACTGATCGGTCAATCTGCCAAACATCGGTTTTTGATGGTTTTTTGTGTTTTTACGTGTTCTTTACGGTCCATTTGGTTTGGTGGAACCCGTCTGAGTCGGAAGTTGCATCTCTGTGGTGACGACAGGGAGAAGCATGGAGAAACCTCTGAGAAGAAGTGCGGCTGCAGAACTTGCTAGTAACATTGTTCTTGTCCGTGTTTGTTTTCTCACTTGAGGTCGTCTTTGTAACTGCTTGGCGTGTTCAGCAGCATACAGCTCTGAACTTGCTTCTTCTTCTTCTTCTTCTTGATCCATTTTGGTTCGCCTCTCCGTGGCTCTCAGATGGAGCACCGCGAGGGTGTATGCACACACGAGCACTCTGGAGCGAGTCATCCACGATAAATGATGAGTCCCGAGTCAATCGCACCACCGGCCTTTTCTCCTTAGCATCGTGCCAAAAAGCCCATACACTCCATGGGTCTGGAATATATGCCGCCCCATTGATCCCCCCTGGCACCACCCCTGGCCTGATCGGCAGTCCTATGGCAGTCCCATTGGCGCAGAAACAGTGTCCAGTGTCCCTGTTTGATCGTACCCAGATTGAGAAGGAATTGGACCGCTTGGCCCAGAAGTGGATGCTAGGCCCCGACTCTAAACCTTCGGAAGCTGGACTCTACCAGGACCCACAATCGGGGTGGTTAATGGACACCCCCTAACATCTAAGGGGCTATCAATGAAAGCCCCTTAGGGTGTGCTGGCAGTCCTGGAACAGTATGCTTCTGAGTGTTCTGTCGATTGGCAGAGGCCGGGCCGTGCATTGAGGGGCGGCGTTGGGGGCCCCAGTGACCCAGTTGGCTCCCGCATCTCCTGGTGGCTTTGAGATCCAACGACTGACACTTGCTGGAACGAACATGGTTACGTGGATGACATGGTGATTTGGATGAGCATGTTCTGAATACCAAACGGGTGGTGCCATTCCACGCAACTGTGATTCCTTCCAGGTAACCGTGCTGCTGCAATGATCCAGAAACGACTCCTCAGCCGCACAACTCTCCCTGCCTGAGCCGCTTTCCTTTTTGATGATTGGGACCACTTAGTCAGGCGAGCTCAGAGGGCATCATGAATCCAAGCATGTCCAATTGGTGTCCTTACTGGGGAAAAGTATCACTTGCCGATCACCTTTTCTGGACATTGGGTGACACCCCACTCAACAAGTAACAGGTGGAGTTCGTTTGGTTTTCGGCAAAAAAAGTACCGCCCTCCAGAAGTCACTTGTGACTTCTAGACCTTTGTTGGGTCCAATGGCGGGTGTGTGATCCTTTGAATCCCCAGACCTCCAAGTACCAAAGCACCAGGTATTTGGACCCTCCGAGCACCCACCCCAGTCCCACCGAAACGAAACGAAGGTGCGACTGGAGCCAGGGGGGATGGGCCGATCGATGGCATTCACTCGTCCGCCGAACGGGGACTTTCTCCGTTCGACCGCTCCGGCGCCGTTTCCTTCGTCGCGAGAAACTGCCCCTCCGCGCTCCGCGACTCGTCGCCCCATGCCGCGGGCCGCCGTGGGGCTTGGGCTGACGCCCTGGAGCTTGGAAGATGGAGGCGATGGAGGGAATGGATGGGGTAGGGAGGGGAGGGACCCCGGCTCTTTCTGAAAGGTCCAAGTCAGTGGATTTGTCCTTAAACCATTTAGACACCATGTTGAAACGAACGCTTTTGAGGGGATTGACACTGGGGACACCACTCAAAATGGGGTGGACAGTTCGGTGCGAACTGGATTGTCCCAGGCGATGCCAGGGAGTTGCTTTGAGATGCTTTGAGACGCCAGAGCGGGCCCCCTTCCCAGACACTCCAAGGGACTGGAATATTCACCGATGTACATTGACCCCCAGGTCAACCACCTATATATACATGTAAGTATATACATGTCATGTATACGGTAAATGTTCTTAGTCTAGTTCCAATGCATGGAGTGTTTGGGTGAAAGAACAAAGCTAGTTTCCACAACGATCCCCATGTGAAACAAACAAGTGCAGTTCCTGAAAGAAAAACATCAAAAAAACACCTGAGGACCTGGAGTCGAGACGTGATTCTGTGATTCACTCGAGACGCAGGAGCTGCTGATGGTGGCTTGACTGGTGGAGATGTGAGTCACTTGGGTCACTTGGCAGACGTAAAACAAAACAAGCAAAGTGACACAAATGGTTGCCCGATGTTTGACACCCATATATCAACCATATCAAAACCATCAAAGACGTATGGTCCAGTGCGTATGCATATCGCCCCATCAGATGGCCAGGCCCGGAATGTCCATCATGGCTGTTCTATTTTTTTGTTGGTGGTTTGGCGCTATCAGCAAGGGCGGTTCTGTTGACGGAATTTTTGCAGCTCGGGGTCTTGAGAAGATCAGCGCATGTATCTGGAGTTGACCCGTTCATATACTTCTACAGTTGTATCCATGTTGTACCCGTCAGGATCATGTCCCATTTTCCCAGGAATTCAACCAAGTTTCTGGTCAAACCCGAGACCTCTCTCTCTCTCTCACTTCTGGACTCGACCCGAAAGTCCGAGTCTGCAGCAGTTTGGGGAGTAAATAAGGGAGTACTGGACCTCCAGAGGCATATGTTTTGTTGAGTTGAAACCATCAACTGGTGATCGTTTTCCCTTTGGGACCCACAACTCTCGCGCCTCATTGGACACGACCGTAGACGTCCTGAGCGTCCCGATCCGAGATTGAAGGTGTTTTTAGGACGGAAGGGGGCTGGAGGAACATGGACATCACGACATCACGTTGGAGATGGGCAAGAAATGGATCATAGATTACGAAAGCCAGCCTTCGTAGAAGGCGCCAGCTGAGTTGTGCTTGGCGAACGAAGTGAGTAGTTAGGGGGTCTGGGCGGGTGGCACGTAGACTTGGCACATGCTGGGGGAAGAGGGTGGACGGATGGAAGGTTTTTTGAGGTTGTGTTGGAGGTGATTTTTGAGGGGTGGTGATGCAAGAAATGCAATTTGCATCATTTACCTGGCAGCGACCCCTCTAGTTCTCGCCAGGTGACCGCTACCATTGGGATGCGTTTCTCTTTGCCAGGCCAGGAAGACTAATGACTATCGATCGGCAAGGGACGCAGGCTGACTGCCCGATCGGCAAGCGAAATTGCCCAGCAAATTGATTCGAGAGTCGTCAGTCTTCACCCAACAACCCAGCTTACAGATTTTAGACTACAACACCAGCCTCAACCATGTTTAAGTGGCCTTGGAAGCCTTTTTGGTCCGCTTTTAAACCTTTGGGGTCCTCCGGCCCGTGTGTTTGATGCTTTTTGATGTCATCGGGTCATCGATCAGCACATTAGGGACATCCGAAAGTTTCTTGCAAGACATGGCTGTGGGTCATGGCGACACTCTGGCTTTTTCCCACCGAATATGAACAGAATAGATCACCAGACATGGTCAGCTTACCGGGGTGAAGGGGGCTCCAGGTGCCATGACCTACACACATCTCACTTGGTGGGGTTCCTTGATAGATCAGAAGTGGACATGGACACTGTCGGCTCAGTTTCTGTTCCTCTTGCTCAGTGCCTTGGGGACCCTGTTGGGGACCCTGAGGCCCTGGCTCCCTTGTTACTTTTGTGGCCTCTTGACACACTAAAACACACAGAAAAAGTGCGAGGAGTGTTGCCTGAAAGATCTCGATTTGCCTTTGTTCTCGGTTTTGGCATGATTCATGTACAGCATGGCAGAAAGTGCTACTGCCAAAATATGAAGCTAAGTTAAGCCACCTGAAGGAAGTTAATCATGGCACCTGGTGCAATCATGGGAGAATCTTTTGTAAGAGATGTCAAAGACCAATTCATGCAAAGGCTGTACCGACACACGAGTCCTGTGGCTCGATAAAGAAACTCAGCCCACTGTGGACATGGCGTGGAGGGTCAAAATATCCTAGTGTGGGCGCCAGCATCCCACGCCTGCATCAGTGTACCTCCAAATCCTGGTATATCCTGGTAGTTTGACCATGTTTGGTGATCTATTAACTGTTCATGTTCGGAGGTCAACCGTGTTTTAGTCCTCCCCCTGTTTTATGACCCATTGCGATGCAGGATGCTTCGCATCGCATGCCTCGTCCGGCCCTCTAGGCCTCCTCAGCCTCGTGCGGTCAGCTTTCCCTCCCTGGAGCAGAAGGTCTTCCGCGCGCTGAGCGGCGGCAGTGTGGAAGAGGTGGAAGCGAAGGCTCAAGAGGACGAAGCAGCAGAGGCCGCTCGGCCGCTGAGGAAGCTGCCTTTTTGATCTCACTCTGGGCTCACTCTTCCCATCTACTGTAAATGGCTTTACAGAAGAAGGTACTTGTTGGATCGGAGCCTCAAGAGTTCTGAGGAGGGTATATCTTGAGCGCTTTCAGATCTTAATTTCTTACAGAGGCCTCGCAGCTAGCATCATGGGCCTAGCTTGCACTTTCTCAGTGCTAGGCATTGCTTAAGCGTCACCTTTAAGCAGAGCGGAGGAACCAGTTGTTCCAGATGGGCCTTTGCATCCTCCGCGCTTTGGATATGGCCGACCGCCTCCTATTGGCCCCACCGGCCAGAGGGAACGCGTGATGTTGCCACGGTGGGCAGGAAACGGAGAGAACATGGGTGCGAGATTATTCTTTGTAGGCGGACTCTCCAAGAAGCACCAAAGTCGCGTGAATGGCTCTCTTTGTGTGTGTGTGTAGTCTTGCTCTGCCACAGCCTGGGTTCATAGCAATGAATGGCTGGAGGCAGTGTTCCAGGCGCAAAGCGCCCAACGAAAAAAGAAATCGCCAAAGGCAGATAGTGGTCTATCCGTAGATTTCAATGTCCAGCAAAAATCCTGCGAAGGCAAAGTGACTGCTGCAGCGAAGACAGCAAAACCATGTCAACTCATGCTTCCGTCAAGCTGACAAGCCAACAGAAGGAACATCACAGCTGGGTGCGGAAGGAGCGATGAGGCGCCTCAGGAACCGCAAAGCACTCCGCTGCCTATCAAGCGCTGAAGCAGACCAGGCCACTGCAGCATCAAAGGTAAATTTCCAATCAAGAAGCTCGTGCACAGACCGAGCGGCCTGTTCCTGAGCTTTGGCGTCGGCTCGCTTGTTGAGGAGTCTCCAAGTCTCAGCCATGTGGCCAGCAAGGGACGGGGTCCAATCAAGAAGCTTATCGTGCGAAGGCACCCACGCAATTTCGTGGGTGGAGCAAACTAAGCTTAAGGCCTTCCACAGGCCCGGCGCCCACTGAGGCAAATATCCCGTCGTTTGGATTTGCTTCACACGTCTGACGACTGCAAGGTTATCGCAAACCAACAGAAGATCTACGCGCAAATGAGTCGCAGCAATGAAAGCTTTCAAAACAGCAACCGATTCAGCGCCAAAAATGTTTTGATCCAGTCCCTGGAGACGGGCAGCAAAAACCCGGTCGGTTGTTGCGACACTCCAAGCAGCCCTGCGCAGATTCTGGACCTTTTGAGAACTACCATCGGAAGCTACCAAAAGTACCTGGTCGGCCGTGGCAGTCCTACGAAAAAGATCACACAAATTCGGATCCGGTCGCAAAAACTGGCTACACCTTTCATCAGGTATGGGAGGAAGTTGGATGCTAGGAACGAGCAAACGTTCCTCAGCTTTGCGTGTAGGCCGAGAAGCCTCAGGCAACCCTGGGCAAGAAGGACAATCCCACGTGACATGTGTGCGTGAAGGCCATTCCCTCCCGCATGCACAATTGAAGGACTCAAGCTCATGCTGCTTGGCGAGTTTACGACTATCTTTGCCAGCGCCGACCGCAATGCAGAAGGACTCCCAATCAGAGACGCCCTGACGCATCCAAGCTGAATGCGCCTGGTAGACTGGCAAAACACGTTGACAAACCTCCGCGTCATCTTGCGCGCGGGGCTCGTTTCTCCAAAGGTACGCCAGCCATGCGTGTCTCATGGCCTCTTTGATTGCCGGCAACCCGTCAAATGCCAAATCAAGGTCCCCCTGCGGGGTGCGGAAACGACTCTGCGAGATGTGCTGCCACTGCCACTTGTTCAAAACTTCTGCCAATCGGTAAGAGGTCGAAGGTTGGGGCATAGCGGCACACACCTGCTCGATGTCGAGCAGGGAACAGCAACTTGAGACAGCACGTCTGACTTTCCAAAGCTCATGAAAGACTACCCGCCTGTCCAACGCGAATTCAGGACAAAGATCCGGACCTAAATACTGCCAAAGCAGAAAACGAGACCTGCCCGGCACGGCACGGCCGATGATGGTTTGCTCAATGGTGTTACGCCACTGATTCAAGAGCTTTTTGGGCACAGTTGTCCACGGCCCCGAATGAGCAAACAAAGACAACACCAAACTGCGCGTGAGCTTGCGTTTGTTTCTCTGGTTGCTGGTTGCGGTCCGAAGTCTGCGCAGTCGCGCAGAAACCTTGCGAGTCACAGTGTCCTCTACAGGTGTGCGCCGACGCTTGGAGAGAGAGTAGTGGACACCAAGGAGCTTAAATTGTCTGCAAACTTTCCAGTTCCGGTGGGACTCATGATTCCACCGTTTCACTGAAACGAGCTGAAATGAAGAACACTTACAAAAAAGCTCGCATTTGGAGTGATTCAGACTCAAGCCCAAAGCCTCTTCAATCCTACTGGACGCTTCGAGTGACAGACAAAGCTGACGCCAATCGGAGCTCCACAGGGTTCTGTCATCAATAAAAACAGAGACACAGACTTGGGGTGCACTGGCTTTAATGTGCCAATACCACACCGTCATCAGGCCGGCTAGCAGACCGCAACTCAAGGGACAACCCTGCAAAAGGCCTCGAGAACAACCAAAAGGTTTAGTGGAAGAACCTAACCATTCCATGGTTTTCGTCTGTTTGTCATAAAAGGATTGGAGGACAGCCACCACAGTGTGAGGTGCCCCCAACTTGGACCAGACACGAAGAGCTTGCTTAACATCGACATGGTCGAAGCATTTGGCAATGTCGATCTTAGCTCCAAAAACCTTGGGCCAAGCTATGCTCTCATGCAATTGTTCATGCGCAGTAGCTGAAGATCGGCCTTTCAAACCGCCCACAAGTTCATCAGGGGCCCATGAATCAATCCAATGAGCCAGCTGCTGAGCAAGGACACCTATGCCAGTTCGCCAGGCAAGGGTTGCAATGCTGATGGGTCGGAGTCCGACCTCTTTGGGAATCAAAACGCAACGAACTGAGTGCCACTGGTATGGCAAGCGCGCCGTTTTCATAACCACATTCCACAACTTGGCCAAGGCATCAAAGAAACCCATGGGCAACAAGGACCATGAGTCACCCGTCCAACCGTCAGGCCCATGGGCCTTGCCAACAGCTTTTCGTACCTGAGATCTGAGATTTGCAGGTGTGAAATTTGGCTCTGAGCAAGAAAAACCCCCGGGCGGGATCCAATCCAAGAAAGGGTCAACAGCCTCTTCTTGAGCCAGGGAAGGCGGGGACCAAACTTTCTGCCAAAAATTTGCAAAATGTTCGGCTTTGCGCTGTGGGTGCACCGGGACCCGAGAGTCGTCAGTGGCAAAGCAAGAAACCTTGTCAGCTCCTTTCACCCATCGAACAAGGGAAGACTCGTCTTCCTCCATTTTACGCTTCCAGGACTGCAGCCGAGCTTCCCGACTAGCACATATTTCTTTCTGCAAGCATTGCTCGAGGACAGCGATAAGATTTGTGTCCAGATTCTGAACCTCAGTGAGCTCAGGAAAATGCTTTTGCAAGTACGGCAGCGCATTCAGCACTTTACGTGCCAAGCTCCAATCAGCATCAGTCTTTTGCAGCTCTGCCAGACGTCGCAGGGTGCGACGGAGGCGACGCTCCAACACAGTCTGAAGTCTTTCGACCTTAGTGGGCGCTGTGGCAACACATGTGGGACCAGGAACTGTCGTGCGTGAACGACCTACCGAATGGGGTTGCAAAAGAGACTCGGCATGGTCACTTAACAAATTCCAAGCACGCTGAACATCCTGCTGCGCTAACAACAAATCAAACCGTTCAAGAGGAAAAGAAGCATCCCACCGCTCTTGCTCGACGGGTTCTTTTGCCTTTAAGGTCTTAGGAGGAGGGACTTTGAAACAAGGCTCCAAACCGGCAACCGCAAAATCATACATGACTGCGCAGTGGTCAGCAATCCCTGCGGACTGGCTTCTGGCGCAAGGGACAAGACCTATAGAGTGTAAAGCAAAGTCAATATGCCGACCTTTGTCGTGAGTCGGAATGGCTAGGGTTTCAATGCCAGCCACATCATCGGCCATATGCAAACACCCACTGCGAAGAACTGGACGCACAGGCTCTTCTTCAGCGGTGCAGTTCCAGTCACCTATGAAGATGCAATCTTCACCGCTGACAGCGATCGCCTCAAAGAGACTCTTACCTAAGTTCCGGGCTTGCATCTTATCCGAAGCATGCAAATAAAGGTTGACGCACAAAAAAGGCCGTGAACCAGGCCTGTGCACTCTCATGATTTGCCACCTGCCTTGTTGTGCCCGGAGAACACAGGAGGGGTCAGGTAACACATATTTGTCAACAGGCCATTTGCTAAGTATGGCAACACCGGCAGTAGGTGCTCCCGCATTGTTCATAGCACAAGGGCTAGCGAAAAATTGCCAACCACTGCGCTTGGCTGCGTGAGACGCGGCCAGCAAGTTATCTTCAGAAAGTCTGACTTCCTGCAGACACAAAATATCGACTGACAAGCTGTCAGCCAGTTGCAACACTTCGGGCATTTTGCCCTTGAGAGAACGCACATTGAGTGTGGCGATTCGCAAGGCACCATCATGCTTGGGACATCGTTGTCCCCCATTGGCAGCTTCAAGTACAGTCATGGGGTTGAGCTGCTAGTCGCCTTCCCAGTGAGCAAATCAGTCAGCTCACTTAACGCTTTCAAGCGTTTGCCTTTGGCTCCCTTTGCGTTTTCATCGACCTGTCGCAAGACCCGCTCACGCGCAGGGGACCAAACCGCTGCTGAACTGCAGTTGAACTTATTCAAATGCTTCTTTGTGGCAGACAGGCGACGGCAGCGAGTGCAGAACAAAGCGGCCTGCTTGCGTTTGCCTGGCGTCTGGACCTGGACCACATTGTGGGCTCTTGGGACCAGCTCATCCACATTGGCAGGAGGAGAAATCTTCGAAACCACCTGCAAGGTTGCGGTGTGCTCCTGCGAACCTACACTGAGCTTATCAGCAAACTTTTGCAAACTAGCAATCAGCTGCTTTCGCTTCGGACCTCCTTTGAAGGAGGCATCGCATCTCACGCTTGAAAGCTTCTTGACGGAGCTTGCCAAGGCCTTACACTTCTTACAAAAAAGCTTGTTGTGGAATCGGCGCACAGCTTTGCCTTTGCCGACATGTGGGAGCTGGAGGATCTCGCAATCGTGCTCTCCCTGCTCACCGGCCTTCAAATCAACCATTCTTCTTGCCAGGCCTGCAGCAGTCTTGGCGATGGTCGCCTTTCGTGCATTGGCACTGCTGCCTCGGGCACGCACGAAACGCTGGCGTTTGGCCCTGGGGTGGCATCTATCACGGTGAGCCAAACGCATTCTGTAATGCATATCAACA